CAAAATCTCAGGATTTTTTATTTTATTTTATTTATTGACTAGAGGCCCTGTGCATGAATTCGTGCACTGGTGGGGTCCAGCCGGCCTGCGCCGATGGCGGGGAGGGGGCTGATCGGGAGCTGGGTTGGCTGACCAGCCTTGCCCCCTGGTCGAACTCCTGGTCCAGGGGACAATTTTGCATATTAGGCTTTTATTATATAGGATTTTAAGGAAAGGGGAGAGGGAGAGGGAGAGGGAGAGGGAGAGAAACACCAATTTGTTGTTCCACCTATTTATGCATTCACTGGTTGATTCTTGTATGTGTCCTGATTGGGGATCAAACCCCCAACATTGGTGTACCGAACAACACTCCAACCAACTGAACTGCCCAGCTAGGGCAGCACTGATTTGATTCTTCTCTTTCTGACTCTTATATAGTCAGATGAAGAGTACTACAATATATTTACTTCAATATCCATTACATTGCTTACCATAGTAAATTAATTATATTTCAACTACAACTGCTTCCCATTACTCTATGCATTACTTTCATAATAATCTTTTAAAAGCACAACTCTATTCATTTCATTATTCTACTTAGAAATTTTAAGTGGCTCCTCATTGCATATTAAAGATCAAACTCAACCAACGTAAGTCTTTTCATTATCTTGTCTCTACGTTACACTTTCAATTGGGTTCCACCTCACACACAAACGTGCCCAGTATTTTCCAAAGAACCCTCTTGGGTTTTCTAAAACACTTTTAGGAAGTCTATGAGATCAAAATTAATTTCATAATAAAACTAAGAAGTTATCTGCCTCTTTCACTCCCAATATCTCATGAGTATACAGTGGCATTTTCCAGTTTAATGACATGATATAGTAACACTGAATGTAAAAGCAGATGTCAGAATCCAACTGTCACTATAAACCTAATGATGAGATCTGAACAGGTATAAAACAATGCAACTCTACTTTTTTGTTGTTGTTTTGGAAAATATAGTTATTTTTAATAAAAATGTTATTTAGGTTAATATGTGATGGGTTTATCATTATTTCTAAATTCTAAATATATTTAAATTTGTTTTTAGTTTTCATATGGCAAACATTAATGCTATAACCCAGACAAACTCTTTGGGGCCCTCAATACTTTTAATATAAGGGGGGGTCCACAGACCAAAATGTTTGAGAACCTTTTTGTGAAGTCAATGTTTCAATCTCACATCTATGTTTTTTTTTCTCTCTCTCTCTCTAAAAATAATTTTTAAAAATCTTAAAAATAAAATACATGCTACTGCCACAACTCTTTTCAATTTACAGAATGTATGAGATTCTGTTAGAAATGTTTGTTTTGGTTTTTCCAGTTTAGAAGACCTCAAGACTCTAAATAGTCCGTCTTTATTGTTTACTTAGGATGCTGTGACCTGCTTTCAGGACACAGCTTTGGGTTCCTTTTCTTAGAGGAGTTAGGGGTTTGTGCTGAGCTGACCCAATCTTCCAACCACGGGCAATCCTTGGTGACAGAGCTGCAGTTTGTGACACAGAGGTGTTTTGTTGCTGTTGTTGTTCCATGCTCAGTGTAACCAGCTGCACTAATCATAGCAGAAGTTAATGAAGCACTTCCAGATCCTTTCTAACAGGGATCAGTATTATGATTTATACTCTCATCCCAACTCTACACTCCCCTATATTGCAGAGGTTTAATTTAATTGTATCCGATTATGATGCTAATAAACATTCTCACAAATCACTGGTCAGGCACATTTTGTTGATGATTAAACTGGGCATGAAATTCAAGGAGAACTGATTGGGGAGGGGGATGGTTGGGGGGGCATAACTTCCTAAGATGTGATTTAAAAGGTATAGGAAAGAGGCCCTCTGGATTCTTAGAAACTTAAAAGTAATTGTATCTCCAAGAAAATACATGTAAGAGAAGCTATTAAACCCTAAGGGTCATCATTTGAATGTGTTCATTACAGCTCAGATACTCTAGGGAATCCAGGAAAGAAAGCTCCCCCTAGGATAGAAATGTGATGCAGTAAAAAACTGGTATAACTACCTTCACTGACACAAACTACCTTCTAAATAAAAAATACACACAAATACGAAACATTAAAAAGTAAAGTTATCAGATATGGTCAATTCCGAAAAGCCACACGGGATGCCTCAGAATTCATTTCCTACTCTACCCACACTACACAATACCGCCCTTAAATAAAAACAACTTGTATTTGTTAGCAGGTAGATTGCTGGAGCACAGTAAACGTTAATAATTTTTTTTTTGTATTTGCCAATTATTACAAAAGCATTCAGGGCTGCTGCATTCTGTCACACAGGATGTGTGCGCCAATTCCAAGGGGTGCCATTCAAACAAACCTCGATGTGAGTGGGGCCCTCTGGGGCTCTACAAAGCTCCATTACTGAAAACCACATGAAAAAAGAAGTAGACAACATAACCTTTAAACCCAACCTAGGATAGTATCACTGTTTTCAATGAACACATAGCACTTTTGATGTAGAAGCAAGTGACAGTGTTTGACATCTGAGTGGGGAATAAGCACTTATTTTAACTTGATTTCATCAATGTGCTGAGAATGGAAAGAAAACAATGGCAAACGTGGAATTCAAAAATTAAAAGTGAAGACAATGACATTCTAGTGAGGAAGAAGGAACATTTTTTCAGTACATGGTGTTAGGGTGACTGGGTATCCATATGGGGGAAAAAGTGAACCTTGACCTTCCTCCCTACCTCAAATCATACAAAAAAATCAATTCTAACTAGATTGTAGGTTTAAATATAAAAGGTAAAAAAATAACGCTTTTGAAAGAAAACATAAAATACCTTCATAACTTTTGGGAAGGCAGAGATTTCTTAAAGAGGACACAAAGTACACTAATCATGAGAGAAAAGTGGAAAATTTGGACTTGATTAAAATTCAGAACATCTGTTCATTAAAAGACACATTTAAAGTGTGAAAAGGCAAGCCACCAAATAGGATGTATCTGACAAAAAAGAATTCCTGCAGATCAATTTTTAAAAGGCAGACTTGAATGGCCAATACACAGGGTTTGGCCAAAGTAGGCTTACAGTTGTTAACATTGAAAATAATACAAGAATAAATTGTTTTTGCATACTCTCAACTGTAAACCTACTTTTGCCCCACCCAGTACACTTCGGAAGTGGCTCAGCTTCATGAGCCATCAAGGAAATGCAAATTAAAACCAAAACGTTATGCCACCACATATCCAACAGAATTGTTAAAATAAAGAAGACAGAAGATTTTTGCACAGCAAAGAAAACCATCAACAAAATGAAAAGACAACTCACTAAATGGGAGAACATATTCAGCCAATGATACATCTGATAAGGGGTTAATATCCAAAATTTATAAAGAACTTATACAACTCAACACCAAAAAAACATCAATCCAATTAAAAAAAATGAGCAAAGGATCTGAATAGACACTTCTCCAAAGAGAACATACAGATGGCCAATAGACATATGAAAAGATGTTCAATGTCACTGATCATCAGAGAAATGCAAATTAAAACCACAATATGACCTCATACCTGTCAGAATGGCTATTATGAATAAATCAAACAAGTGTTGGCGAGGGTGTGCAGAAAAGGGAACCCTTGTGCACTGTTGGTGGGAATGCAAATGGTACAGCCACTGTGGAAAACAGTATGGAGTTACCACAAAAAAAAAATTAAAACTAGAACTGCCTTATGACCCAGTAATTCCACCTCTGGGACTATATCTGAAGAAACACAAAACACTAATTCAAAAAAAATGTATGCGCCCCTATCCTCATTGCAGCGTTATTTACAATAGCCAAGGTTTGGAAGCAGCCCAAGTGCCTATCAGTAGATGAGCAGATAAAAAAGCTGCAGTACATTTACAGAATGGAATACTACTCAGCCATAAAAAATAAGAAAATCTTACCATCTGTGACAGCATGGATGGACCTGGAATGTATTATGCTAAGTGAAATAAGCCAGTCAGAGAAAGACAAGTACCATATGATTTCACTTATATGTGGAATCTAATGAACTAACAAACAAAATAGAACAGACTCATAGATACAGAAAACAGACTGACAGCTGTCAAAGGACGGGAGGCTGGGGGGCTGGGTGAAAAAGTTGAATGGTTTAAGCAAAAGAAAAAAAAAAGAAAGAAAAAAAAAGAAAAAACTTATAGACACAGACTACAGTTTGGTGATTGCAAGAAGGGGGTGGGGGTAGGTAGAAGAGGGTAAAAGGGGGTATAAATGGTGACTGAAGGAGACTTGACTTTGGGTGGTGAACACCATACAATATACAGATGATATATTATAGAATTGAACACCTGAAACCTATATAATTCTATTAACCAATGTCACCCCAATAAATTAAATAAAAATTAAAAGAAAAAGACAGAAGAAAGTACATTTACAGAATGGAATACTACTTGGTAAAGATGTAAAGCAACTGGAGCTCTCACATGCTGCTGGTGGAAGAGGAAAAGTTTGACCGTTAACACTAAAAGTGAACATAGGGATACTCCATGACCCAGAATTCTACAGCCAGGTACATACTTAAAAGAAATGTGTAGAATTCATATACTGTAAAAGATGGCTATCAAATAATGAGACTAGTTCTAAATCCATATAGGAAAAGGACTTGTTATAGTAAACACACTGTGTATATGTACATATATTGTGTGTGTATGTGTGTATCTGTTTTATTTCTAGTGACTTTTAAAATCTAAAATGGAAATACATAGCTGATCCAATTTCTTCTTCTTTGAGATAAAGTAAACTTGAAATCAACCAACCTTACGCCTAAACATAGATCAATCAATAATTATCATCAAACTGGAGAAAGTATGCCCCAGACAAAAGCAGTCTGTGTCAGTGAAGCAATTTGCTATTCTAACGTGATTAACACTCTAATAAAATAAAATAGAAAACTAATAGGGCATTTAAATTTTAAAATATATATATGATGTAGTAATTAAAAATAGATTATAAGTTATTGTCCCTGAATTAGAACCGGGACCATAAAAGCACTGTCAGTCCTCAAAAATGTGTACTTCATGGACTGTTCTAGTTCAGATTTCTATAACCAGATAAACACAAAGAAAAGTACTGAAAGGTCTGAAACTGAATTTTAAAATGGCACAGATGGCATGTTTATAACACCCCCCACAATATGCTGAGTGTTCTCCATAAAACCAACCTAGACACAGTCCCTGCCTCTGGGGACTTAAAATCTAAAAGTAGATGAGGCAGTCTAATTCAAAGAAAGTAAACAAATAAAAGGAAACAAAGAGGGGAATGTCAGAGAAGAGAGGCCTGCATTAATCTCTCAGCTCCCAGAAGGGTAACAGTCCAATCTGAACAGTGGAGAATGAAAGCTAACAGTCAGACTTCGTATGACACTATCCAGTAAATATTCTCTAAAAAACTATGCTGACCACACTGAAAATGCTTTGTTGTTCTGTAGCTTCAGCATTCAGAAGGTCTAAATCTCTGCAGTAGGTAGACTATATACCCCACTGGGTATGTGGGAAGGACGTTTAACAGCCCATGCAGAGCGAATGATTTACAGTCCATAATCTAAATTACTGAATCCAAAGCACATGAAGGCATTATTTCAAAAATCCTGGCTCAACAAGCAATTAATTAATATGACACAACCATCAAAACTCCTAAAACAAGGCAGTGATTCTTACTGGACTGCATTTTTGATCGTGTCTCTAAAGGGACATATGAGCTATATTTGGTTGTCTGTAAATAAACATTTCATGGGCCTACAGCTCAGACTCTGATCTCCTTATCCAGTTGACTAGAGCTATTTAAATAGAAAGATGTTCAACAATTGCCTGAAATGTTTCCAAACACAGACCCTCTATAAGGCCTTGAAATAAAGAACATCTTTATTTTAAACCACGTAGATTCTTCCTGGAAGACTTCAAAATGCTGACGACATCCAATTAATTAAGTTATAGGAACCAAACTCCCTTCAACAAGCTGGTCCTGGCAGCTTCACTGCCTCTTTGGACCCAATATCTCTGGAAAAGACTGTCTATTAAAAATAATAATGATGATGATGATGCAGCCAAATTCCACACAAAAGAAAGAAGATGGAGGAAGCAATGACGCTATTGACTTTGCACATCAAATTAATATCTATTTAATCTGAACTATAAAGAGCACAACTTAGAACAATGGTTTGAGGTTAGGATTAGGGACATTATCTTCCCAATGCCTCAGACCTGTAGCCACTTTCCCCCTGGTGCTCTCTACGGCAGCCACAGTGACTTTTCAATTTCCCCAAATACTATCTTGCCTGTAATATATATATATATTTTTTATTGATTTCAGAGAGGAAGGGAGAAATAGAAACATCAATGATGGGAGGCTGCCTCCTGCACGCCCCCAAGTGGGGATAAAGCCCACAACCCGGGCATGTGTCCTTGACCAAAATTGAACCCGGGAACTTTCAGTCCGCAGCGCTGATGCTCTATCCACTGAGCCAAACCAGCTAGGGTTTGCCTGTAATTTAAAACATGGCTTCCTTTTAAAGAGAAGATTTTCAAATTACCTCTTTTTATAAATAATACTAGAGACCCGGCGCACAACATTCATGCACTGGTTGGGGGTCCCTCAGCCCATGCTGCGCCCTCCTTAGCGTTGCTGTGGAGGTGGGAGAGGCTCCCGCCACTGCCGCTGAGCTCGCCAGCGGTGAGCCCGGCTTCTGGCTGAGCAGTGCTCCCCCTGTGGGAGCGCACTAACCACCAGGGGGCAGCTCCTGTGTTGAGCGTCTGACCCCTGGTGGTCAGTGAGTGTCATAGCGACCGTTTGTTCCACTGTTCGGTCAATTTGCATATTAGCCTTTTATTATATAGGATTTCCATCATAGAAATTACATAAAAATATACCTTACACAAATCCAGGATATTTCAATAAAAACTGTATTTGAGTCTACTTTATTAAGTATTATAGTAAAAATGCACTTGATCCAGTAACCCAAACTCTAAACCTTGGACTCACCATCTGATTCCTTCTTCCCTCCAGGTCCCACCCTGCCTTCCCTCCTCCTCACATTAATCAGTAACCAGGTTTCAGATTCTCCTTCCATCCAGATCCCTCACACTGAAAGGGTCTCAGGAGTAAGTCCATCACATAGAAAAATCAAGGTCCACTCTGAACCTGGAGGTCAATTCCGGGTCAGGGCACAGGCCTGGGTTGTGGGATGGATCCCTGATGAGGGGAATGCAGGAGGCAGCCAATTGGATTCTCTGTCATCATTGATGTTTCTCTCTCCCCCTCTCCCTTCCTCTCTGAAATCAGTAAAAATATATTTTAAAAAATAAGTATAAAAAAAATCGAGCAGCCTAAGTGCCCATCAGCAGATGGGTGGATTAAAAAACTGAGGTACATCTACATAATGGAATACTACGCTGCGGTAAAAAATAAGGAGTTCTTACCATTTGCAACAGCATGAATGGAATTGGAGAGCATTATGCTAAGTGAAGTAAGCCAGTCAGAGAAAGATAAATATCACATGATCTCACCCATTTATGGAATATAATGAACAACATAAACTGATGAACAAAAACAGATCCAGAGACAGAGAAACATCGATCAGACCGTCAAACCTCAGAGGGAAGGTAGGGGAGAGTGGGGGTAAGGGGGAGAGATCAACCAAAGCATATAAGCATAACCAATGGACACAGACACCAGGGGGGTGAGGGCATGAGTGGAGGGGGGGGATGGGTGGGTAATGTGGGGATAAGGACACATATGTAATAACGTAATCAATAAAGAAATTTTTAAAAAAATCGAGGTCCAAAGGGCAGAAGAGTCTGAGAAAAGCCAGAGGAGACACATTTCAGGCTAAGACAAGACAAAGGTTCAAACCAGAGAGACACTAATACAGTGTCTGGGACAGACTGGAGAAAGAGTCTGAAGAGACTGCCCAGACCACTGAGCCTAGAGGCTTGACCTAAAGTCAAGGATTGGGTGGGTCAGGACAATTCAAAAAGGCTATGTGGAACAAATACACTATTATTTTTCTCACATACCCACCCCTCTTTCCAAATATCCTCTGCCACCATCCTAGCTCACACCCTTTTTAAATCTCACTTGAACAAATACAATGACATCTTCACTGACCCTTTGTCCTCTTTTTTTTTTGCCCTTTGTCCTCTTATAGCTCTACCAACAACATACTGTGGTCAAAATCATCTTCTTAAAGTACCATGTCAAAAACTTTCAATGTTTTTCTTTAAAAATAAATACACACACACACACACACACACACACACACACAGATATCCTCCTATACAATAAAAGGCTAATATGCAAATTGTCCCCATGGGCGGGAGTCTGACTGGGAGTTAGACGTGTGCTGACCACTAGGGGGCGGCGTGGAACATGGCGGGCGTCAGTGACGGCGTTCATGTCCCATCTTAAACATCATTTCCTTAAGTAGGTTTTCCTTGACCCTCTTCAAAGGGTCCCTGCTATATTACCAGAGTACTATGCTACACTTCCCTTTTCATGGCATTTATCAAATTTATAATCACAAATAGCAAGAATGCATACCTACACTGTGATTACGGTAAGAATGTTACTTCCTTATTCAAAAACCTTCTGCTGGCTTTCCCAAACTTCTGCATTAAGTTCACATTTCTCAGCATGGATCTTTCAAGGCCTTCCACGGTATAAACTTTTATGGTCTACTATTCCCAAAAGCAGGATTATCTGTTTCTTCCCAAATAAACCACATACTCTCTAGTGCTGTCATTTCTGTAGCTTTCTCTATGAACCTGGTTGTCCTGTCTTTAAAATTGCTACCCTTTCTTCCAAACCCAATTCCATCTTCTCCATAGAATTTTTCCTTATTTTCCCAAATAACTTTGTCTCTCCCACCTTTGACTTCCTTCCTGCTCAAATATGTTGTATTTTCCTTGTGGCACTTTCCTAAAGCTGCATAGTTGTTATGATACTCTTCTTACCCTTGTTTTCTATTTCTTAGGTAATGCTGGTTATGTTATACCTTACTTTTCTATATATCTCATTTCATTTTGTATAGGCCTTATATACAAAAAGTGCTCCATAAATGCATTAACTTGTATGGCAGTTGTCTAAATATATGTATAAAACAATCTTTCAAGTACAAAAGACACCTGCGAAACAGATGGAAGCTAAATGGAATTAGAAAAGGATGTAACCAGTACAAAAACAGAAATATACCTTATTTGCATTACAAATCATTGCTCTTTAATCAGAGAGTAATACATCGTTACGGACTCATTAATCTTATACATTAAGACGTCAACATTTATTTCAATTCTGACATCTCAGAGTAAATAGAATTTTAACTCAAGTTTCCTACAGCAGCAGACACAGTGCCACTGCTCAATGTTTATTTTGTGATCATTTTTCTGCTGTTGGCTGAACAAAAACAAATAGCAAATAACATTATCTAGGTGTGCCTAAAATTATAACCCACACGAATTATCTAGTTCATTAAATTTCTAGATCAAGAAAATAAAGACAATGCGTTTCATGACCAAGGTCACAAAGCTAAATATAGGACAAAGGCCCAGGACCATCTGACTTGCACTGCAGCACTGCTCCCACCCAAAACAATAGTCACCTGAAGGCTATAATAACTAGAGCACATTATTCTCAATCAACATGAGAGCCAACAGGGCTCCAGTACTGAATTACGGTCATTTGCACATTTCCAGCCACGCTCAAGAGAAACAAAAGTGTGATGAGTGAAGGAATGAAAAGGAATTCTTTTTATCTTTCCCAGGAGCCTTATAACCTTTTAAAGGGTTAGAAATGAACACTACTTCCTAAGTTCCTGAGGCGTGTGTTTGTGTTCAAAGACCTCTGAGAGGCAAGAAAAACATGATAGGAAATTACATAAAACTTTTCAAAATACATAATAGAATTTTGACACATAACAGAACATGCAACATACAGCGTTTTGAATAAAACATTATCAAAAGTTACTATTTACTTCATAATAACCAAGAAAGGTGGTGCTTCAGAGAAAAAAGAGAAAAGAAAACGAAAGAAAAAAAGCTAACA